ACATTGAAAATTCAATTTCTCCAGATTTCCTTCGTGACCGTATGTATACAAGTAACAACTATTCTTTACCTATTCCAGTTAGTTTTTCAACAATATATGAAACAATGCTTTGTCAATTTGTTAAAAATTCAAATGTTTCCAAACAATTTTCCATCATTCGCTATGGTTGATGAATACCTTTGCCAATGTATATTATATTACATTATGTTATATATCTTACTACATACCGTTACTGCGTCATGTGTTAATCTTTGTATAAATGCTAACGTTACATTACATTACACTACATTACCAAACACGTGTCTTTTTTTTCTCTTTTCTTTTTCTTTTTCTTTTTACAATTGAGCAAGAGAAAACATGAGACGCAAAATTTCATTTGAAAATGTGAAAAAAAAAAAACAATGCAAGAGATTATTGTTTTCAACAATACAATATGATGTGATATATTAATTAACATGTACCTGATAATGAATAACACGTTACATGGCATAGTACATAGCGTGTAAAGCATATTATACCGATATAACGGGGCGTAACGTTACATTTTTCAGGATGTTAAAAGCATGTATCGTGTAGACGATATACATAATCTACACCACATTGAACGAGAAGAACACATGGTAGTATAGATGTAAATGTACACGGTCATAATTATACATGGAAAGAGCAACACTACGACTATGTTTCAAGTATTATATATTAAGAGATTAAAGATGCAACATTTAAAGTATGAAAAGTATTAAGACATTTATCGTGAGAGAAAATATTGGACTTGCGACTGGTGAATATTTATCGTGATATTGATGAATATTAACGATTGGAATGTTAATCATTTCAACACAAACAAGAAAGCTTCAAAGCTTCATTTCAGAGTTATTTTTGATTCGGTATAATTTCACGATGATGCGGAGCAATCTAACAATCGTTGTATTCGTTTTCGTAATCGGGTTAACTCGTTAAATTTGCTCGCGAATAAAGAAGAGAGAATTCGTCGAGAACGAGTCGGCGGTCTTTGGAGAGAAGTTTTCAGAGGATCGTTGCTGTCGACGATGCTAGCTTGCACAATCTTACTTAGATGGTAAGGCGCGTAAGGTGCGGTTCGCTTGACTGCTCATGCGAGTCTCTCGACCCACGGATACTTTACTTCTTGATCATCTGCAACGATACGTTATCCGAGAGAGCGTTCTAGTTTCACAGTTGCTTGTCTCGATCTTTCTTCCTTGCTTTTCTTCTCTCCTTTTTTTCAAAATTGCTTCACACGTAGAAAGGGATTTTCTTCGATTTCGTATCGGATTCGTCGTGTTACAATCGCGTTACACGCACAAATTCACTTCATCGTCGATGCGAGTGTAACACGCGTGTCTCATTTCTTTAACGATTATTCCTACTTTACTTTAAAGAAAGTAAAAGTAAAAATAATTAACACGCGCTTTCTCATTTCTCACTGCACGTCTCTCTCGTTCGAACGTCGTTGCATCGTCGAAAATTTCGTCGTCAACGCTCGTCAACGATTGTCTCACGCTCCCTCTTCAACGAGTCCAACGAGTTGATCCTCTCGGCGGCGGCAACGTCCGCTTCCGGCTCCTCCATTTCCATTTCCATTTCCATTTCCATTTCCATACAATGGACACTGCTCCGGCGAATGATAGATCGTCTGTGCATTTAACGAGACTCTCGCTGTCAGGATCCCGAAAGCGACCTCGTAAGCCTCATCGACCTCGTTCTCCTCTCCGCGTCGATAATTCGAAAAATGCTCGCGCGACAACACACACACACACACACACACACACACAC